AGCAACCTCCAACTCCTGGGCTCAAGCGATTCTCCTGCCTCTGCCTCCCAAGTAGCTGGGACTACAGGCACCTGCCACAATGCTCGGCTATTTTTTGGTTGCAGCCATCATTGTTGTTTGGCCGGCCAGGGCTGGATTTGAACCTGCCACCTCTGGTGTATTGTGGCTGGCACCTTAGCCACTTGAGCCACAGGTGCCGCACCTATTTTTTTTTTCAGAGACGAGGTCTTGCTCTGGCTCATGCTGGTCTTGAACCTGTCAGGTCAGGCAATCCACCCACCTTGGCCTCCCAGGGTGCTAGAATTATAGGCATGAACCACTGTGCCTGGCCTCATTATCTGACTTTAAATTATACTACAGAGCTACAGCAAGCAAAACAGCATTGTACTGGCATAAAAACAGACATACAGACCAATGGAACAGAATATGAGAACCCAGAAATAAATCCACACATCTACAGGGAACTTATCTGTTTTTTTTTTTGTTTGTTTGTATGTCTGTTTTTTGAGACAGCGTCTCACTATGTTGCCCTCGGTAGAGTGCTGTGGCATCACAGTTCACAGTAACCTCAAACTCTTGGGCTTAAGCAATTCTCTTGCCTTAGCCTCCCAAGTAGCTGGGATTACATGCACTTGCCACAAAGCCCGGCTATTTTTTGTTGTAGTTGTCATTGTTGTTCAGCTGGCCCAGGCTATGATCAAACCTGCCAGCCTCGGTGCATGTGGCTGGTGCCGTAACCACTGTGCTACAGGTGCCAAGCCTGGAGAACTTATCTTTGACAAAGTTACCAAAGACACATAGTAGGGAAAGGATAATCTCTTTCAATAAGTGGTCCTGAGAAAACTGGATACCCAAAGCAGAAGAATGAAACTTACCTGATGACCCTTACCTCTCACCATATACAAAAATCAAATCAGAATGGATTAAAGACTTAAATCAAATAATCCAATTAAAGATGGATAAAGGGTCCGAATAGACATTTCTCAAAAGGAGCACAAATAAGCCAACAGGTATATGAAAAAAATGCTCAACATCGTTAGTCATCAGTGAAATGCAAATCAAAAACTATATCATCTCATCCCAGTTAAAATGGCTTTTTATCAAAAAAACAGGCAATAACAAATTCTGGCTAGGATGTGGAGAAAGGGAACTTCTGTACACTGTTGGTAGAAATGTAAATTAGTGCAACCACTGTGGAGAATAGTATGGAGGGTCCTCAAAATATTGACAACACAACTACCATATGATCCAATAATCCTACTTCTAGGTATGTATGTCCAAAGGATGGTAATTCAGTATATTGAAAAGGTATCTGCACTCTCATTTTTATTGCAGCACTATTCACAATCACCAACCTAAGTGTCCATCTACAGAGAATGAATAAAGAAATTGTGGAACATGTACATAACGAAATATTACACAGCCATTAAAAAGAACAAAATCCTGACATTTAAAACAACAGGAATGGAATTGGAGAACATTATGTTAAGTGAAATAAGCCAAGCACAGAAAGACAAATCTTACATGTTCTTACTCATGTTTGGGAACTAAATATTAAAAACAATTAATGTCAGTGGGGTGCTGATAGTTCACACCTGTAATCCTAGCACTCTGGGAGGATGAGGCAGGAGGACGGCTTGAACTCAGAAGTTCAAAACTAGCCTGAGCAAGAGCTAGACCCTTGTCTCTATTAAAAAACAGAAAAATTAGCCAGGAGTTATGGTGGGTGCCTGTAGTCTCTGCTGCCCAGGAGGCTGAGGCAGGAGGATCGTTTAAACCAAGAATTTCAAGGTTGCTGTGAGCTATGATGACCCCATGGCACTCTATCCTGGGCAAAAGAGACTCTGTTTCAAAAACAAACAAACAAACACACAAACACAAAACCCAAAATTGATGTCATATATACATAGCAAGTAAAAATGATGGTTACCAGAGGCTGGGAAAGTAATGGAGATGGGGTGAGAAAAGTGGGGATGGTTGGGCAGCTCCTGTGGCTCAAAGGAGTAGGGTGCCGCCAGCCCCATATGCCGGAGGTGGCAGGTTCAAACCCAGCCCCAGCCAAAAATTACAAAAAAAAAAAAAAAAAAAAA